ATACGACACCATATTTTTTCAAGCTTGCGGTCATATAGAGTTGAAACACTTGTTTCTGTACGATTACCATACTTAAGCAACGTTGTCTGGTCAGTACCCAAATGGGTGACCGCTTAGTAAATCCAGGTACTGTTTTTTAATTTTGGGAAATGTATGAATTCACCTGTTCTCTATCCATATATAGGTTAGTAAAACTTGTATCACTAAATCATTATTATCTCCAAAGATATTCTCCCTATTTAAAAATCTTTTCTGGCATTAAGTAACCAGCAAATGGTTGATAAGCCGTACAAAACGAATCAGTCCAGCAATAAAAACTATTTCTTGCGTAAAATCTAATGAAATGTCGCTCTAAAGATCAGGTGAAAATACTTCTTGGGTAAGAACAGACCAGTTGTGTTCCAAAATTATTGCCCGTGTGAAGCAGATTTTATTTTATTTTCCTTAAACGTGAAGCACATTTTTCTGTTATTCTTCGAGGCGAACCACATTTTCCCGCGTTATACTTCGAAGCAAATCACATTTTCCTACATTATTCTTCGAAGCGAACCACTTTTCCTGCGTTATACTTCGAGGCGAATCACATTTTCCTGCGTTATATTTCGAGGCGAATCACATTTTCCCGCGTTAATCTTCAAAGAAAACTATATTTTCCAGTCTTATTCAAGGTGCAGTACATTTTCTAGCGTTATTTTTGGAGGCGCATAATATTTTCTTGAGTCATTCTTCGAAGCGAACCACTTTTTCCGCGTTATATTTCGAGGTGAACCATATTTTTCAGCGTTTTTCTTCGAGGTGAACCATATTTTTCAGCGTTTTTCTTCGAGGTGAACCATATTTTTCAGCGTTTTTCTTCGAGGTGAACCATATTTTCTTGCGTTATTATTCTCGGAGGCGAACCACATTTTCCTGTCTTATTCTTCGAGTTAAACCACATTTTCCTGAATTATTTTTAGTGTCCCAGCTATGGGCAAATTATGAACTCACAAATAAAAAACAAAATACTATGAAACTATAATCAACGGAAGTGGGCAAGAACTTTATAACCTGTGTTTATGCGCAACAGGTTTCAAGGTCAATAGGTAAGAGATGGCTTCCCTCTGTTTATTTTAGCTTCCTTACCAATTCGACAATCTCGATACTTTTTTGGTCAGGCCTCATAAATATGGTACTAACTAGACTTTTTACATTTCTTTGTAGATATTCAGGATTGTAATTTAATAAAGGCAAAGTTATGCGGTTTGCATCTTGTATATTAACTTAACAAGCATTTAAATTTATATATACTCATATGCATCTGCAAATAGAAATTAATATAAAGCAAAAGAAAAACCTGCTGTACATTTAGAGATTTTTAAATAATCTGCAATGTTATTGATCTTAACCTTGCATCTAGGCTTCACCCACTTTCCCACCGCCGTAAATTAGTTTCCCTGTGCCTTTTCTATAAAGGCTTTCATGATAATTGTTATGATGAACTTTCTACTGTGTTACCTAGACTTTATGAATTTAATCACAGTACTAGATTACCAAAAAGGACCCATCGGTTTACAGTTTAACTGTTTAGAAAAAACCGTAAGTTCTATGCTAACAGTTTCTTCGCTCGCACTTCTCACTTGTGGAAATCTCTTTCGGCTTCTTGCTTTCCAGTCAAATTTGATCATCAAAATTTTGAATGCAATATCAATCATCATTTTCTACCTCCTTGATTGCTGTTTTTTTATTAGATTCTCTATTTAATTCGCCCTCAGTAAACACTTGAGTCTTAGTGGCTTTATCGCCATGTTTGGGGTGAAATAATTTTAAAAGAAGCAATTGGTTGAAAAACGATTTCTCCGCAATGTTATTTCTAAGGCATTCTGACCACTGTATAATGGCTTCGTCCACCAGCAACAGCACAATGCATAAATAAGCAGATATTAGAAGAAAAAATACAAGAAAAAACATTAAATAGGTTTTCTATGTGCATCAATGTGCGTTCTGCTGTTCAATGTTAAAGAAATAATTCCGGTAAATAACGGATACTATACTGAATGATTCGTTCGAGATGCTTTTTGTTAGAGAAAACGCAGCCATCAAAAATATACGCCATATTTAATTGAATATCAAATACAATTGGAAATGTTTATTCTGCTTTTCATGCGTCATCTTTTTGAATCAGTTTTCCGTTGAAGAATTAAAAAGTCATCGGATAAAATAAAGGGATATATTAACACATTCGTTTTAATAGATCTCTATTTCTTGATAGGTAATATTTTCAATAATTTATACATCGCTTCGCACTCCTCCCCATCTTTTGAACAGAAGTAGAGGTTTTTTTCCTTATTTCCTTTTTAGGACTTGATTTCCGGCTGCTTCGCATAAAGTTTTCTCATTCTCTTTCACGCCAAGTAACCCTCGCATCTTAGTGACTTTATCACCTTTCTTGGGGTGAAAATTATTAAAGAAAACAAGAATCTGCACGTTTATCAGCCTGTTTTCTATCTATCGTCCATTTCTATTCATTAATCTATCTATACATATATACATACATACGTATAATATATACAGTGTGTATATGTATCTGTCTATCTCGTATACATATATGTATGAGTGTGTGTGTAATATATATGTATACAGTGTGTATATGTATATGTTTGTATGTATGTATGCATCTATCTATCTTTCTATCTGTCTGTCTTTCTCTCTCTCTCTCTCTCTATATATATATATATATATATATATATATATATATATATATATATATATATATTTTTATAAAAATTTATATTGGTTATTGAATTCATTCCGTGAAAATACAAAACAAAATGTTTATAACAAACAATTTATGCTGTTTTAATGTTAATATATCAATGTCAGACGTTTTGGTCTAATAAACCATCTTCAAAGGACATATTCATAAGATTAGCGCCCGTTATTTATCAATACAACTTATGACAAAGACTTTGTCATGTTGGATTGAGACTTATCAATGAAATGTCCTGAAGATGTTTTATAAGACCGAAACGTCAGACGTTGACATATTTGGATTAAAAAAGCATACATTGTATATATGATTTTGTTTATATTTTTTTCCGTATATATTTTTTTCATACTGTCGGATCTATATCCATATATTTGCTTATATATATATATATATATATATATATATATACATTACATGCATATATATATATATATATATATATATATATATATATATATATATATATATATATATATATATATATATATGCTAATACCATTGCCAAAGGTGTCAATCCTTTTCTTCTCCCTCCAACTATGAATAAATTAGCAGGACAGACTGGGTTCTATAGCCTTGGATGGCAACTGGTCTAGGAGAAGGACAACTCTGAATTCAAAACCTGCGGAGGGTCGTTTGGGGACCTTGTGGCAGGTAGTGCACCAGGTCTCTGTATTCAGCCCTTCAAAAAGTGCGGAAGGATGATTTTGCACAAAACCTTCTCCATTATAATCAAATCATATGTGCTGCTGTCTGGCTTTCGATTCCTAGGAACTGAGTTGCTTGACCCTCATACATCGAATATGACGGAAGAGTATATATATATATATATATATATATATATATATAGCGTAACCCGGATATAAGAGAGTTGTCGGGACCGGAGAAGAAGTCTCTTATATCCGGGTTTCTCTTATATCCGGGTTTGGTCTATTTTATATACATTAACACAGGCTCTAATTTGGGACCAGAGAAAATCTCTCTTATATCCGGGTTTTTCATTTTTATTTTTCATTTTATTTTTATTGCTATCATAAAATTTTGTACCGCAGAACAATCTTCAAACATAAATATATATATATATATATATATATAAGATGTGTTCAATTCATTATTCTGGAACTCATAAAAATGTACCATATGTGCGTTATTATATCACTTATATCTATCTATACTTCACTCATATCTATCTAGCATATTTAATTTTCATCTAACTATCTATCTCTCTCTCTCTCTGCATATATATATATATATATATATATATATATATATATATATATGAAGAAATATACTCTTAAGGTTTGCTATATTTATCAAATAAATTGCTGTATCTCAGAGATAGAGCGTGTGGAAATATGAAAGCTAACATTGTAATCAACATTAATCGTTCGGCCACCGACTGACGATTGTGTCTATCATGAAACAGCCTGTCGCCTCTAAGTGTTGACTTCAATGTTCACTTTTATATATATATATATATATATATATATATATATATATATATATATTGAGTAAATTGTAGGACAAAATGGAAAAAGAAATATTCAACAAGGAAATCAGCAAACTAAATAAAAATGGGTCTAACAAGGTTTCACGATTCTTGGCAGATTTTCTGTTACGTGCGATATTTAATAACAGAGATGATGGAAAGAAAAAATATAGATAAATTTGTCTCGATTGCAAAAAAATCCTTTCAAGGAATTCTTTAAATAATTGTGAAACTACCAGCGTCTCTCGTTCACGCGCACGTGTAGTCAGAACACTGTCAACAAACCCAGGCCGATAAAGTCATAACGGATAAAACGCGTCACAAGTTCAAAACAAGATATATATATTTTTAATTTTATCTATCTAATTTATCCCAATGTATCTAATTTATTTTATATCTATATGCTGCTTAATAAATTAATATCTATTTCTCATTAATATATCGTTTATTTATAACTGTCTATTTATATCAGTCTGTTTCTATCTACCTAGCACACACACATCTCAAATATATATATATATCAGCCTGTTTGTATGTATCTATCTATCTATGATTTAATTTTTATCTATCTATTTCATTTATAACTGCCAATGTATCTAATTTATTTTTATATCTATAGATGCTGCTTAATTTATACTTATATATTTCATTAATATCTATTTCTCATTAATCATATTTCATTCTGTATCTAAGTCTGTTTCTATCTATCTCAGTCTGTTTATTTATAACTGTCTATTTATATCAGTCTGTTTCTATCTACCTAGCTATATGTTTGTCTATCTATCTATCTCAGTCTGTTTATGCATGTCTATCACTCAATCTATCTATATCAGCCTGTTTATATCTATCTATCGAAATCTGTTCATTATCTATTTCTATCTATCCCAGTCTGTTCATATCTATCTATCCCAGTCTGTTCATTATCTATCTATCTATCTATCTATCTATCTATCTATCTATCCCAGTCTGTTCATTATCTATCTATCTATCTATCTATCTATCTATCTATCTATCTATCCCAGTCTGTTCATTATATCTATCATCTATCTATCTATCTATCTATCTATCTATCTATCTATCTATCTATATCTATCTATCATCATTATCTATCTATTATCTATCTCTGTATCTATTATCTATCTATCTATCTATCTATCTATCTATCTATCTATATCATTATCTATCTATCTATCTATCTATCTATCTATCCCAGTCTGTATCTATCTATCTATAGTCTGTTCATTATCTATCTATCTATCTATCTATCTATCTATCTATCTATCTATCTATCTATCCCAGTCTGTTCATTATCTATCTATCTATTATGTCTGTTCATTATCTATCTATCTATCTATCTATCTATCTAAGTCTGTTTATGCATGTCTATCACTCAATCTATCTATATCAGCCTGTTTATATCTATCTATCGCAATCTGTTTCTATCTATCTATCTATCTATCTATCTATCCCAGTCTGTTCATTATCTATCATCTATCTATCTATCTGTTCATTTCTATCTATCCGTTTGCCTATCTATCTCAGTCTGTTTATTTCTTTTTATCAGCCGTTCTTTATTTTTTTCGTTCTATTTTTCTTTATCTTTTCTTCTTTTCATTCCGTTTGCCTATCGTGTCTGCCTTATTTCTTTTTTTCGTTCTTTATTTTTTTCGTTCTTTTTTCTTTATTTTCTTCCTGTCTGCATGTGCATCTGTCTGCCAGTCTGTCTCTATTATCCCTTTCTTTCTCTCTTCTTTCCGTCTATCTATCTATCTATCTATCTCTCTCTCTCTCTCTCTATATATATATATATATATATATATATATATATATATATATATATATTTGTTTGTCTATCATATTTATTTCTATCTATCTATTAATCCATCTATCTATTTATCGTATGTTATTTCTATCTCTTCATCTTCTCTCCTTCTGACATGTAAATCAATCTCTTTCTATAACCGTCTCTAGATCCAGTGTAAGTTCAAAACACAACAATCGAATGAAGACATTTTCATTATTTGAATGAATCTCTCCCTCCATACACCCTGGAAATAATTTACGTAATAAATGACATCCACGCCCTTTTCTATTAAGATAATGTACCGATTATAAATTATCGTTTTACGTCCAGGACACTGTTTTTTTCACTTGTACTTTAATATTCTAATCAAGTGAACCACAATTTTCCTAAGAGCATTATTCCAATTCGAGCGGAGCTTTTAATAACTGCAATAACATTAGCCAGTCGGAAACATTGGCTGATTCTAGTTTTCTTTTATAAGGTTTCAATTCATCATCAGAGCGAAATGTTTTGGACAGGAACATGTGTAAAAATAAATTATAAAAATTTTTTTTAAAAATGTCAGAAGACAATGGAAACATTTCTCTCTTCATTTTTGTATATGAATTGTTTTGTCTTAAAACATAAGTTAGTCTTTTAACTAGGTAGGTGATATGGACCCAAAGTTGGGACCACGGAAGGAAAACACGGAACAAGGATTAGAGGCAAGAAAGATATATTAAACAAAAAGGTTACAAAGATAGTGCAAGTGTAAGCGGAGCTTACTATGTACTAGTGTCCAATATTGGTAGTCGTACGCGGCTGATACTATGGTATTAGAATACTCTCTCTCTCTCTCCCCTAGCGTGTTATATCGCATACTTTATATAGCCCTGGAAGAGTCCATGTTGTAGGTATGTTACGGTCTCACAACAGTAGGGCTTGTTCATTTTATTTTGACGATATGTTAACACCTATTGGGTTATATAAAATCGAAATTATTTTTTTTTTTTTATATTTACGTTTGAATCTATAATTAGTTACTTGGTACATCTTGGTAAATCTTGGGCCTTTATATTTGAGTCTATAAGCATCTACTTGGTTTGGAAATAGGGAAATATTGATCGCTTATATTTGAGTCTATAAGTCTTTAAATTATTCGGGAGTGGTAAATATAGGTTGTTTATATTTGAGTCTATAAGCATTGACTTTGTCGCAGGTAAATTTTATTTGGTTGTTCACATTTGAGCGTATAAACATTTACTTGGTTTAGGTGATAGTGAAATGTTCGTTTGTCTTAGAATCCATAAGTATTTACTTAATTTGGGAATAGGTAAATATTGATAGTTTTATCTGTGTCTATAATCATTTACTTGGTTCGGGGATAAGTAAAGATTAGTCGTCTATATTTAAATCGATAACTATTTATTTGGTTCTTAGATAGTTAAATATCAGTCGTTTATATGTCGTGTGTCTATTGGGATACATAAGTTTATTCTATTTTATTTACATTTGAGTTTGGGTAAGCATTTATTTCATTTGAGGATATTTTATAATATATATATATATATATATATATATTAGACTATTTACATCATTTGGACTATTGTCCTCATCTTTGTTGCCATATTTGTCCCAACGTTTCGGCCGTTGTACGCTCCGGATTTCTTCAGGTGGTTGGAATATCGAAGTGAACCATTATTTCGCTCGCTGAGGTTGACTGATCTAGTTCCACGTGCCATGTCTAATGTATGTCAGTTATCAGTTATCTGTTAATTCATCTCTCCAAAGTCTCCACTGCCTTAACCAGGTATTGAACTCACAACTGTTTGGGTCCTAACCAACGCCTTTATCCACTGTGTCCTTAAAGACACCTGTGTAGGAATTTCCGGGACTTATAAACTTAATGTCTTCAGCAATCATATTTTTAACATTGCTCATATTGCAAATTTTGCTTTTATCATTGCATGTTTTTTACTAGAACTCATATTGCAATTTTCGAACGATTGGCAGTACTCTTTGAGACAGCTCTGGAAACACAGCAACGTGAAAAATTAAACTAGGAAAGAACTGCCTATCAACTAGTTTTTACCGTTTCTACCGAAGTATGTTTCCAGCAATTCAGATAAATATTTTTTAGGCAGACTTTAGATAGATTTACATAGATAGATGGAGAACAAACAGGGATAGATAGATAGATAGATAGATAGATATATGAGATGGAGAACAAGTCTTAGGGATAGATGAACAGATGAGATAGATAGATAGATAGATATTCATATGAAACTGATATAGATAGATAGATAGATATGAACAGACTGAGATAGATAGATAGATAGATAGATGAACAGAGGAGAAAGATATTCATATGAACAGATGAGATAGATATAAACAAATGACATGATAGATAGATAGATAGATAGATATTCATATGAACAGATTGAGATAGATAGATAGATTGAGAAAGATATTCATATGAACAGAGTGAGAAAGATATTCATATGAACAGACTGAGATAGATATAAACAGACTGACATAGATAGATAGATAGAGAAGATAGATATTCATATGAACAGACTGAGATAGATAGATAGATAGATAGGTTTTTTTTATATTCTGTTATATGAACGTAAGACTGAGATGACGATGAAGATAAGAATGATCCAAAAGATCTTCTTTATTCATGACGTAATGTCTTCGCATGAATCTCAAAAGATCATGACATGGATTATCTGGACATATTGATAGATCTTTCCTAGATGATTTAGATCCGAGTTTTATAGTTTCAGTTCTCCATGAACTGCCTCTCTGTATAGGTTGAAAAAGCCTTGGGGAGAAACACCCCTTTCTATTTTTCTATGTCTGTTGAATTCATTTCGTTTAACCGTTAACAGGCGGTTTGATGCCCGTGAGATCGTTCCCGAATATCTCAAGGTTTCTCTAACAGATAGATAGATAGGATACTGCGATAATTACGTACCATAGAAGAAATGAACAGATATTTATGAGATCTAAGATAGATGGAAAGATAGAAAAATAAAGATAGATAGATAGATAGATATTTTTTTTTAGATATGAACAGACAAACAGGGATAGATAGATAGATAGATAGATAGATAGATAGATAGATAGATAAAGACAGATAGATAGATATGATTCATAGATGATAGATATGACAGAGACAGAGATAGATAGATAGATAGATATGATAGATATTCATATGAACAGACTGAGATAGATAGATAGATAGATAGATATTCATATGAACAGACTGAGATAGATAGATAGATAGATAGATAGATATTCATATGAACAGACTGAGATAGATAGATAGATAGATAGATAGATATAGATAGATATTATGAACAGACTGAGATAGATAGATAGATAGATAGATAGATAGATAGATAGAGATATTCATATGAACAGACTGTGATGATAGATAGATGATATTCATATGAACAGACTGAGATAGATAGATAGATAGATAGATATTCATATGAACAGACTGAGATAGATAGATAGATAGATAGATATTCATATGAACAGACTGAGATAGATAGATAGATATTCATATGAACAGACTGAGATAGATAGATAGATAGATAGATATTCATATGAACAGACTGACATAGATAGATAGATAGATATTCATATGAACAGACTGACATAGATAGATAGATATTCATATGAACAGACTGAGATAGATAGATAGATAGATATTCATATGAACAGATTGAGATAGATATTCAGTATAGATTTTTGATTATTCTGAGGTCTTTCCCGAATATCTCAAGGTTTCTCTAACAGATCTTTGTGGCATACTTTGTCAAATGCCTTTGCTTAGTCTATAAAAACAGGTACACGAGTACTGCTTTTTAAATTCATAAAGTCTACGTACCATAGAGGTAAGTTTAGCAGAACAATTACCAAAGAAAATATTTATAGAAAATTTACAGGAAACTTACGTTACGAAGGTGAGAAAGTGACGGAAGAGACATGCCATGTTAGGAGCAATACAGATATTTATTTGTATTTTATCAAGAAACTTAACATTATTTTTTGGATTATCCGGAATGCGATAAAACTCTCCATGTCGGGTTTAGTAGCAAAAGTAAATATTTTTTGTATTACTGCTACAAATGGCGCGTTTTTAGAGCAACCCGTTAGAAGTATTTTTAGACATGCCCACTTGTGCAAATAGCAGAGGTTCTTTTCCAGAGATATTCTTAATTTTTATCTTACCCTTTATTAACATTGTATTTCAGAAATGCAGTCTATTGCCAAACTCTGTTTCTTTTCTCGTGTAATACAGCTATATTATATAAGGTGAATTCTTCTTTTTTTTTAACTCATGTAGGAATTATATTTCCGTTGTCTGTTTTTTCTATATTTCCTTTCGTTGTCTTCAAATGTTTTCTAGTCTATTTTCTGATGTGAATGAACCGTTTTGTGTTTACACTCTTTCTAAACTAGTCGTTTCTGGGACACGGGATATCAACCGTAAGGGTTGCAAAAAAACATGGTACGGTGGGGACTTACCGAATTTTAGAAGTGGCTGACGATATGAAAGCATAAAAAATTTCGTGTCGAAAATATGGAGATCTGGTATGTCATATTTGAGTATGATCTATGTATAAGGAGAATTTTTTTGTGTAAAAGGTTTTAAACAAAAAAATCGTATTATACACAGGTAATATTTTGAAGAGGTAAAAAGTCAGGTATTTTCGATGACTGGTTTCACTATACTCAGGTATTTTATCTTTCTGGTGGGGTAAAAATTGATGAAAAAAATCTCAGGGTTCACAATATATATTAGACTTATATACGAATGTCTCCGGTACGTTTTTATCGCTTCAGAATCACTTGGCAATACATCCCAACTACTATAACAGTTCTACTGTAGTGGGCCGTTGTATACTGATTTTCCAAGCCTGGCTTAGATATGGAATAAGGCCGAAAGTATGGGGTACCCAGTGAGGATCGAACTCACTACGCAGTCGTACTTGATCTAGCAAGACAAGCTTTCTAACCATTACACCACGTCGAGGTGCTGCGGTGAGCCGTTGTATATATTAGGTTGGCCAGAAAGTCCTGACTCAATTCGGAAGCGTAGAGTAAACAGCACAATTTTACAGAGCAAGACCAGTATTTATTCTTCAAAATAAAGTCCATCATTCTTGACGATCTTCTGCTAGCGATCAACCAGCATCCGAATCTGTCGCAGATACCCGTTCGATGGCTTTGAATTAAAAAAAAAAAAACTGTCAGCTAGCTTCTTTCACTTCATTAAAATCGCTGGTCACGGAGGAAGTGTGTCATTGAGTGAAATCGGCCATAAACAATCGGAGTAGCATCGAAGAACCTCAACACCATACATCAGTTTGAACTTCTCCTTAGTCATTGTTTTGCTGAAACAATTCCGGAACCCAACTGACCAAAGTAGGATACACTTTCTTTAGTTGGTGAAGCTACTGGTGACTCGAAATGCAGTATTCTTTGGAAATTCCACCAGACAGATTTGTTGTTTTCTTTCCGTATTAAGTAAATCAGGACTTTCTGACTAACCTCGTACAGTGTAAATGCTTTTTTACTGTAAAAATGTCTCGGAAAAACCGGAAGTGACTATCAGTGATCAGAAAGTCAGATAATCTTTACTACAATAAAACGTTTATTTTATGTGCCGTGTAAATGCATTGCTAATGATTTTACAACAGAAATAAATAAAAAAACAATTCTGGATAAAAAAGATTGTGAGTCAAGATTTACAGCAAACTTTACTGAGAGAATCATGTTAATCTACAAATCAACAATTCGCCATTGCATGCAGTATTGCTGCCATATATGGTCTGGAGCCCCTTCTGCTTACCTCAGGGTTTTTGATAGGCTCCAGAGGCGGATATGCAATATAATTGGCCCTGATATGGCATCTCGTCTACAGTCACTTTCTCACAGACACGCCGTCGCCTCTCTCTGTCTGTTTTACAAATACGTTCATGGCATTTGCTCCGAGGAGCTGCATTCGCTGGTATATATATATATATATAGGAATGTGTAGGCTAAAAAAATGTACATACACGTACAAATACTTGCGCGTACGTAAGTATATTTATTAATCAGATAATATAAAGAAAGTGCTCAATGTTATAAAACAGAGCTATAAGTATATATTAGCGAATATACATAATATCCAATGTTGATAACACTACTCGGAGTTTAATAATGCAATCTTCAGGTGTGAATTCTGACCTTTATGAAATAAAAGTCAGAATCCACAACTGAAGATTGCTTTAACTGTATGAAACTCTGCGTAATAATAATAATATATATATATATATATATAGAGAGAGAGAGAGAGAGACAGAGATAGATAGATAGATAGATAGATAGATAGATAGATAGATATAATGTAATATAATATATAGATAAATGGATTTGCTATTTAACGCTCTCCATGTATGCGTTTCCTTAAATTAATCAGCCCAACCACCTAATTTAATTCAGGAGACCTGAATAAAATTTACTTTACAGGAAAAATATTTTGAAGTCATTTATTTAATAAAAAAAAAATAAATTCTGCTTGTAAATATATTTTGGCAAAGTTCCATTCTTCAGCATTTCCTTTGACTATTCATTTCAACGTTTTTATTCGACTCATAATAAACATCCCGTATTTTGAAAATTTATGAAGAATTTGGAATAAACTGACACTGTAATCGTAAAAGAGACGATTCTTCATTCCCTTCAAGACGTGGGCGATCATGGTCCTCTCCCCTAGTTCTTAGTAATGATTGTCAGACAGACAATCATTACTAAGAACTAGGAAGAGGACCATGATCGCCCACGATACCTAATACCCCTCATTCTCCTTATTATGCCATTGACTTGAGCAGGCTTTTTAGCTAGATTACTCGCTGTTCCACTCTGTATCTTTTAACGTCATTATTCTCTATCAATGTCAAATTTTCTAAGCCCCATTTTCTTATTATGAACACCAAAATTCCAACTGTCTCTGTTTTTTTTATTTTAAGTATAATTGTCCTTTTTCTTTCCATTTATTTTAAAACCAGCATTCATTCTATCTTCCGTTAAGTTCTAACTTCCTACTTATCTATCCGAACTTGTCTGACTATTTTTTCTCACTGCCTATGCGGTTAAGAAGACATTTTATACGTTATATTCAATGCCATGAATATGATCAACTTGTCGCCTTGGCTATGCACTAATGGGATTTGTATGAGAAGATTTTTTTTTTCATCGCGTTAGATCTGAATAGAGGCTACTTTCCACACTTTTCAAAATACTAGGCATGTCCCTTTTTTCCTTGCTTTATTCATCGATAAATTTTCCAGCGTCTGACAACTCTTTACCTAAAACTCGATTGTAGTTCACTTGTTTTTGCTTTGCAGAGTCATTTTTTATTAAAATGTCCGGCGTGATTTTGTTATACACCCACAAAACCGGGCAGAAATCAATAATACGTCGCCAGCAGAGTCCCAAGCCGCAACCCGAAAAATAGTCTGATATACATCAATGAAAAGTGAGAAACTATTAATAGATTTACTTATAAATGTAAATACTTATAGAAATGCGTAGCTGAGACTGAGCTTATGTATTCACAAATTAAATTATACACACACACATACACATACACACACACACTGACTATATATATATATATATATATATATATATATATATATATATATATATATATATATATAAATCCATGATGTGATGGGTAAATTGTCGTCATTTCATATTTTTACTTTTGCGCAGGTGTGTTGCTCTTGATTTTCAGGGTAAAGATGTATGACAAAGTGGAAAAAAAAATCTGTGACGCGTTTCGTTCTTTTGGACTTCATCAGACGAAATTTATGTTTACGTTTTAATTTAAATCTTAATCTTTTTCATTTTTTGTAACGTGGATTTTGGCTAGAAAATCAGCTAGATAATACAAGGTACGATGGGTAAATTGTCGCAATTTCATATTTTTTTCGTTTTTTTTTTTTTTATTTTGTGGACTGCACATATATATTAGGCTCAGTTAAGCAACTTCTGTAAGAAAAAAAGCAACAATGACGCAATTCATTCCGCCAGAAATCTGGAAACGGCAAGCTGTACTTTTTGGCATTCGCACCGGAAGCTCCAATACGAACATTTCAGAGTGTTTGGTTGTCAATCAGGATTCGAATAAACTTGGATGTGTCTAATGATGACTAAGAAAGTACGGTACATCAACACGGAAAACTCACTCTGATCGTTTTGATTAGAAAAGAACTCACGAATTAGGTGGTGGTACTTCAGACTCGATACGGAGAACTACATCAAGTGTCTTGAGGATGTAGTTTGCTATATATATATATTTCTGTAGGCTTAGAAAGCAAATATTTTTTAAGGTAAATAAAAAGTTGGCGTCTATTTCAAATAAGAATTGTCAATTATAATAACGTTTCAATTAATATCTGTATGTGGTGTGTCTGTTTCTGTGTCTGTGTTTATATTCTAAGTATTTAGGCAGAAAATGTATAGGAGGACTGATATTACGTAACATTTCATAAAACTTTCCTTTATTTCTGTTGCTTCAAGTCACTTCTTCAACTGTGAAAAGATTGTCTTGCATTTACTGCCATATAGGAGGACTGATATAACGTAACAGTTCAGTAAACTTTTCTTTGTTTCTGTTGTTTCAAGTCTCTTCTTCATCTATGAGGAGGTTTTCCAGCATTCACTGTAATATAGGAGGTCAGATGTTACGTAAGAATTCAGTACTTATCTTTGTTCTATCGAACATTTTCTCTCCCATAATACTCTGATTACATTTTGGAATGCATCTGTGAATATCCCAACATCAACTTAAAAATTCCGAATAAGCTTAAGTTAATGATTATATATTGAATCAAAATATACACGGAATCGTTAATGTTGAATGCAAATGTTTTATTTTAAAGATATTGCATTGTATTTTGTTAACTGAAACAAGTTTTGTATATTTTCTTCACTTATGCATTTATATTTGATATTGTATTAATATTTTACTTTCATTTATTAATTTCATTAATTATTTGCTATCTTTTTTTTTGCAGGTAAGTACCGACATTTTGTCAACAGCTTTTTGGTAAGACCGAAATTTCTTTTCTTTTATACACAAGTCAAACATATCTTTCATCCCTCTTCAGACTTTATTTCTTCAATTCATTTTCTTTATTTTGTTACATATATATATATATATATATATATGCGTGTGAGAGAGAGAGTGTGTGTGTGTTTGTGGTTTAGACAGAGATAGTTCTTTAAAGCAAATAAAAGAGCTCGTCTATTTCAAATACGAAGTGTCCATTATGATAACTTTTAAATTAATATATATATATATATATATATATATATGTTGATCATTTGCAAAACATTAGTTGAAGGGAGGCGTTATTGCTGATTAAGTTGGTTGTATTAAATTTAGTATAGTATATATGCCTTCTAAATAATGTTGTTGACGTGAAACCATTAATACCATCTAATCTATCTATCTATATATATATATATATATATATATATATATATAACATACAACGTGTGTTAGCACGTGCGATACCCTGTCTTCATCAGCCGGTTTCGGTGGCTATGACGGGACCGCCACCCCTGGCGCCACCAGCAGCGTTTGCCACCGGGCAGGGTATGAAGATAAGTTAACTAATCGTTCCTTAAAGTAAAATCTATCTGCAATGATATATATATATATATATGCGTGTGTTTGTATTATCTGTATTTACGCCGCAAATGTTCTTCGGATGCAAATATTATTAAAAACGGCAGGTATTCTGAGTCAATTAATGTTATTGATCAACTTTTAATAATTACAATTAATCCTGCTCAGCAAAGAGGAAATTCCGTTAGAAATTGTTCATTTCGGAAGAAAAGTACAAGATATATCGTAAAATATTTTGAGTTTCTTAAAGTCAGCATCAGGATAAGTAAAAGCAATTGTTGAGAGTCGTAAAATAATCAGTACTGTGACGTAGGCAAAGAATGTTGTGACGTAAGTGAGGTATGACGTGTTTTTTTATATTAATGTAAGTATGGTAGGCACTTAAGGTATAATTGATTTTATTCATTGATTGCTGTTTCTGTTGTATGAGTAATGCCTCAAGGATCATAAATCTGTTTTTTACTATTTCATTTTGCTAGTAATTTGGTATTGTTTCTGGGCAGCTGGCTAATGTTACTGTGTTCTTTGTTCTCCCTCTTAACGTTCTTTCTGATGACACTATGGTGGATAGGTCGTTGGTGAGTCTCTGAGAGTTTGATTGTGGTAGATAGATAGATAGATAGATAGATAGATGTATAAGGTTAGGTAAACGAAATAACTAGATATATATATATATATATATATATATATATATATATATATATATATGGTCTTGGGTTCCTGGTGTACATTTAGAGATTCTTGACAAAAAGAAGGATCCGTTATTGGTCCTGTCCGATCTTGACTTCAGTCACATTCTCACTGACGTGACGTGGCTTCCCTCTGTCTTGTCTACGAATATTTTCATGGCAAATGCTCTGACGAACTTTTTTTCACTTGTGCCCCGAATACATGAATTTAAACGGGCTAGTAGATTGGAATTTAGGTCCCACAGTTTTAATGTTGAAATAGTTAAATATAACCGCCACTTAAATCTCCAACAGATTCGTTACTCGCACTTCCCAACTGTGGAACACCCTTCCGCTTACTTGCCTCCCTGATAACTACAATCTTCAAAAACTTAAATGCAACGTCTATCTATGTTCTGTGCTCTTGAATACCATTCATCTTTTTTCCTTTCTTCAATCCTCAAGTTTATAAGTCCCAGAAATTCCTACACAGGTGTCTTTAAGGACACAGTGGATAAAGGCGTTGGTTAGATCCAGTGACAGGACACAAAGAGTTGTGAGTTCAATACCGGTTTAAGGCAGTGGAGACTTTGTAGAGGTGAATTAACAGAAGATAACTGATAACTGACATCCATTAGACATGGCACGTGGAACTAGATCAGCCTACCTCAGCGAGCGAAATAAAGATTTCAGTTCAACATTCCACCCACCTGAAGAAGGCCGGAGTGTACAACGACCGAAACGTTGTAATAAATATGTCTCATCTCAGAAATATAGACAGATACTAAAAAATAGATAAAAAGTGTATATAACATCATAATATTGCTGGGCACAAATTATAAGACAAAATGTTTTAAATTTGCATCGTTTTTTGAAAATCGCTCTAAAACTATCGTAATATATAATATATGACATCATAATATGGCTAAATTGTTTTAAAAGAAAATAGTATAATTTCCCTTTGAACTGAATAAAGGTCTTATTTAAGGGCACAAGGATTTAGTAATAATGCATTTTGTCAATATACAATTTATGTAGCTTCAGTAAATTATAAATATTATAAGGCTATGCTATAAGGCTTTCACGGGTCAATTTTGAATCTAAACTTAATCTTCAAATTATTTTACTTCCTCAAAAAACGGTAATGTTTTGTATAGAATTATTTTGTGTTTTTATTTATCATGTCAAACTGCAACTTTAAAACTGAATGCAATAGCACAGTTTCAAAATCTACCTGCCCTATTGTGTATAGATATAGTCCTTTCTGTAATCCAAATTGTCACTGAATCTGTCTACTTCATGTCGACGTTCTTCTTCATTTCTGCTATTTCGAAATCAACTCTTTATGCTCGCATTTCTTTTTATCCAATCGTCGCCATTCTACGCTCGGCCAATCATCTGGTTGACTGCTTTTCAATTCAGTCCCACCGTGCTCGCCTCCCTACTCGTCCCCCCATGCGTCGT